TTTAAGGATGTTTAGAAGATTTTTTTACGGAATTTTTTGGGATTTTTAAGGATATTTGGGGGATTTTTTAAGGATTTTTTAAGGCTATTTTGGGGGTATTTTTTTGATTTTTAGGGAGTTTTTTAATGGATTTTTAATGGATTTTTTTGGAGATTTTTTAAGGATATTTTGGGGATTTTAAACAGATTTTTTCGGAATTTTTGGGTATTTTTTGGGTATTTTTAAAGGATTTTTTAGGGCTTTTTTGGGATTTTTTAAGGGTTTTTTAAGGATATTTTGGGGATTTTTGAAAGATTTTTTGGGGATTTTTGAGGGATTTTGGGAAAGATTTTTTGGGGATTTTTTGGGTGTTCTTGGGATGGTTTTTGGGGTGTTTTTTTGGTTTTTTGGGTGTTTTGGGGTGTTTTTAGGGTGTTTTGGGGTGGTTTTGGGTGTTTTTGGGATGGTTTTTGGGTGTTTTGGGTGTTTTTGGGGTGTTTTTTGCATTTTTGGGTGGTTTTTGGGGTGTTTTTTGGGTGTTTTGGGTGTTTTTGGGGGTGTTTTTTGCATTTTTGGGTGGTTTTTGGGGTGTTTTTTTGCGTTTTTGGGTGTTTTTGGGGTGTTTTTGGGGTGTTTTTAGCATTTTTGGGTGTTTTTGGGGTGTTTTTAGGGTTTTTGGGTGTTTTTGGGGTGTTTTTTGGGTGTTTTGGGTGGTTTTTGGGGTGTTTTTTGCGTTTTTGGGTGTTTTTGGGGTGTTTTTGGGGTGTCTCTGTGCCGATTTTGGGGTCCCCAACCCCCCGAATTTCCCCTCCCCCAGGTGGGGGTGAAGGGGAACCCCCAGGGCTTCAACCGGGGCCTGGATTGTGACGTCATCGTGGCCGAGGTGAGCCCCAAATTCCTGGGATTTCACCCCAAAACGGGGGGGGTTTCAACCCAAAAAAAAACCCCGGGAAATTTCAACCCAAAATCCGGGAATTTCAACCCCAAATCCGGGAATTTCAACCCAAAAAAACCCCGGGAAATTTCAACCCCAAAATCCGGGAATAAGCCAGGAAAAAGCGGGAAAAGGTGAAAAAAAGGCGGGAAAAAGCCGAGAAAAGGCGGGAAAAAGCCAGAAAAAGGCGGGAAAAAAGGAAAAGGCGGGGAAAAGATGGAAAAAGGCGGGAAAAAGGCGGGAAAAAGCTGAGAAAAGGCGGGAAAAGGTGGGAAAAAGGCGGGAAAAGGGGGGAAAAAGACAAAAGGCGGGAAAAAGATGGAAAAAGGCGGGAAAAGGCCAGAAAAAGGCGGGAAAAAAGGAAAAGGTGGGAAAAAGCTGAGAAAAGGCGGGAAAAGACGGGGAAAAAGGTGAAAAAAGGCGGGAAAAGGACAAAAGGCGGGAAAAAGATGGAAAAAGGCGGGAAAAGGGGGGAAAAAGACAAAAGGCGGGAAAAAGATGGAAAAAGGCGGGAAAAGGCAAAAGGCGGGAAAAGGACAAAAGGCGGGAAAAAGATGGAAAAAGGCGGGAAAAGGGGGGAAAAAGACAAAAGGCGGGAAAAAGATGGAAAAAGGCGGGAAAAGGCAAGAAAAAGCGGGGAAAAAAGGGAAAGGCGGGAAAAAGCTGAGAAAAGGCGGGAAAAAGCTGAGAAAAGGCGGGAAAAGGTGGGGAAAAAGGTGAAAAAAGGCGGGAAAAAGACAAAAGGCAGGAAAAAGCTGAGAAAAGGCGGGAAAAGGCGGGAAAAAGGCGGGAAAAAGACAAAAGGCGGGAAAAAGATGGAAAAAGGCGGGA